TTGTTGAACGCAGACGTTGTCCAGCGCAGGGCATGATCTTGCGCTGTCGCCAATGCCTGCACGCCACGTCTTGCCCTGTGGTGGCCTGGTGGTAGTACAGCCGTGTCGCATGTTTTTCCCCGGGGACCAAAGCCTGCGTGCCGCCGTCTGTCGCCGATGATATCACAAACATGGGGCATAGGCGTCCTGTAGCACTTTATAAGTGTAAAAGTCTTTTGCGGCTATCGCACGTGCCGTTGTAGCATGAGCTTGAAAACTTGTGTGGCGCGTGTGCATATTTGTCGGCTGTATAACCCGGCGAAAATACAAGCTGGAACTCCTCTTGCCATTCTTGCAGTTGCCGTTGCTTTTGACCATGGGGCAAAAGTGGCGTCCTGGTGTGGTTGAAAACTGAAAACATTTTTCTTCACGCGGCCAGTTTTCCAGGAATTTCTCAAGGTAGCGGCTGTTCTGCCTGCACCTGGGCTCACGACTTCATGTGGGAAACATTCGTTTTTGGAAGGCACGGGCGAGAAACCACTCTCAGTGAGTTGCGGCCACTGGTGCCTGGGGCCGTGTGGATCTGAATGGAAACGTGGGTGCATGTGGGTGACCATTCCTTGGCCCCCTCAGCAAAAAGGCCCGAAAGGGTGGCCACAAACGCCCACTGCCCCGGACCTTTCGCAGTCAAACGAGCTGCACTGTTCCCGATGCTCGGGGGTGTGGGGTTGCGAAATGCGGCCCCAAGTCGGAGTACAGCAAACGGTGCATCTTGGGCTGGCGTGCGAAAATTTTTTGTGTTTGCTCCACTTAAGCCAAGGTACCAATGACGTTTTGTTCTTGATGGGTTCGCCGTTCGGCCCGTGGATGTCAGCAGCACGTCTTTTGCCAATTCATTGATAAACCATATACTCTCCCAGCATCCAAAACTCGATAACATGACGGCCCTTTATTTGGTGTTTATACTGAACAGCTTTTTTTTTCACCCCACGGACTTTTCGGGCGATCCAAGTGCATTTGCGAGCTACGGCATTGCAACGAGGTTGCAGCAGCTCAGCGGGCCGGCAGGCAGCTGGGCACAGGCGGGCACGCGTCGTGCAGGACGTCCTGCAGATGCGGTGCCTGCGCGCCAGGCATGGGGGCGTGGAGGGGCGGCGTCCCGAGCAAAGTGGCAGCAAGCGTGTTTTGCACAGCCACACTCAGCAGGCCCCACCACCGCCTGTACCAGCCCTGGGTGGCAGTTCCTCGGAGCGGAGCAGGAGCGCGGAGGGCTCGCGAACGGACGAGCTGCGCGACGAGGCGGAGCGACTCGTCGTTCCAACGTCCGCCGGTCTCGCACGCGAGCACGCACAGCCTTTGCTGTCCTCGCCGAAGGAGCTCGGGGTAGGCAGTGCGCTTGCGACGTTCGGCGATGGCCAGGGCAGCACCGTCCCTCGTGGTTGAGGAAGGTTGCGGGCGGCCATCACGGGCAAGCGGCGAGACCAACGTCACGTTGCCGAGCTGTGTGGCACCATATGCGACGAAGTCGAGGCGCCGGCGATCATTCGGATCAACACCCGGGGCAGGCATCCGAACGAGCCACTGTTACGGGACGACCTGGCCCTCCGGCCCGAATGCTTCGCGAACGACACGTATCCACGCACGCTCCAACGGCTTGGCTCGCCGGGCGAGCAGACCGGTACGCGGGCAGGCAGCATAGTGATCACCGTAAACATCGACAGAGGCGCCGCAGCCGGGTCCATGGGCCCCGCATCTGCCTTGTGCGACGGGCAGCGGCAAGCGCAACCGCCGCCGCAAAGCGATGAGCATGCGGTCTGGCGGTACTGTGATGTTGGGCCGGCCTCGTTGGGGACGGTGCCGAGCCAGGCGGCAGCGCGCGGCCCAGACTAAGAACGCAGCAGCGCCTGCGCGGGCAGCACAAGCGCCGGCAGCAACTCGGTGTCGCGAAAAAGGGTTGAACAAGCGCGAGAACCGTGATGCTGCCAATTGGGCCGGCCGCAGGCCGTCATGGATAGCGCGCCACTCGGGCCGACCCTCCCATCCTGCGTGGGTGAGGTGGGCACCAGCTGCAGCGGCAGCGCGTAAGCAAAGGGCAAAGGATGCCGATCTTGCTTCGAGTTCGGCCAGGCAAAAAGCAGCTTCGGGGCGACGCAGCCGCAAGACGGGCAAAGCGTCGGCCCACGCAGCCCAATATGCGGCAGGAGCGATGCGCTCCGCACATTGGAGTCCGAGTCCGCCGAGGCCGGCCGGCAAAAGACACCCCCTCATCTGGCGATAGCGTCCCATTACACATCTCAAACACACCCCTCATTTGGCGACAACGGTTTATCACACATCAATCACGCCCTCTATATTGGATGACGGTTCATCATATTGTTTTCCGACAGCAGCAACGCCTTCAACTGAGTCCACGGCAGCCTACTACGGTGACTACGGCAAACGTTTCAGGCGGCGTGCAAGGTGGGCGCCGGCAAGCGGCTGGTCGCCGGCGGGAGGCTGCCCCGCACGTCCGCAAGGACTTCGTGCAGTTCTGGCGCCTCACCCGCGACACATGCCTCACCGGCGGGCGGAAGCTCAAGCAGGGAGGCGGCGTAAGCAAGCATCGCAGCAACAGCGAGCATTCCGGACCACCACTGCACCCAGCCAGCTCTCGGCACAGTCGATTGTAGACAGCAAGTTATTTTCGCAATAAGCACGTACAAGAATTCTCTTTTTTCACTACCCGCGGAGTGGCGTGGTCCTCCACAAGGCGACCTGGCCAGTCTGCAGGACTGCCTCCGGGCGGCGGGTGTGGAGGGAAACCTGAAAACTCAAGGAGCAGGCGCATCTTCCACTCTTCGAGAGGCTCTGGAACCATGAGAGGCAACTTCCCCAATCAATCTCACGGAATGGAATCTCAGCCATGGTCTCAGGGCTTCCTTTGCAAATCTTCTCAGGGATGGCGGTGGAGCTCCACCTGCGCTTCTGTAGAGCTGCCAAGCCCGTTGCCTCCGTTCCATCTTCGACATACCACACTCATTCATCAGCCGCGTGCGCAACGAGAGTGTGTTACCAGAAGCTGGCATCCAGAAGCTTGCAATCCTTCTTTGGTCTGACAGCTGCCACTTTCGGGGCGCATCGCGCAACTTGCACGGGAGGATGTCATGCGAACATGTATTTTGCATGATGGGACGTTTTAGCCGCGATGGCATGATGGACTTCGGAATCGGGGTAGACCCAAGCAAACATGGCTTTCAAAATTTTTTCGCATGGCTTTGGATATGTGCGGGGATCGGTTTAGTTTAGAGGGATTATGGAACCCACATATAATTTCACACGTATGCCACATCAGCGAAACGGTTGAGTGGCTTTACATGCCCATGTGTCTCAACACGAGGTTTTGGCCTGACCATGTTAAAGAATCTTCAAGATTTATGATGAACAGTTATCGCCAAATATGGTCCCTCACCTTGCGGTGTAAAGAGGGGACAAGTGGCACGATCTCCCCGGAACACCACCGATGTCTGCGCCGTGTTGGTGAGCTCCTAAAAAGGGTTTCTTTCGTCATTGGTTTGTGTGTCGGCCCTGGCCTGCAGACCGAATTCGCCTTTCCGAGAACTGACAAGTGAACTTTTCGCGTTGCCCTTTCTTGCATGTAACCTTTGTGGAAGGTTCTCCTCCATAACTCGTAAGTTGTGAGCCTGAACTTGTTAACCTTCCGGAATTAGAGCTGGAAAGAAGAACCAATGTGTGATCTGTTGTGGTTGTGCTACTGGTTTAACGGCGGTGTTGCGCTTTAGTGAATTTTGTCTCTGGGACCAATTTTCGGAGTAGTGGCACGTAGCGCGTAGAAGAAACTTGCAACATGCTGCTATGTTGTATCGAAAATCTTTTGCTTCGAGGGAAACAGTTGCTTCGAGGAATCTGCTTTGGTATATTGGATGTTTAGTGTTTTGTGTTTCGCTTTTGTGACGCTCGCAACTGAGACTGCTCCCCTCAACACCTCGTCAGTAGTCAAGACCCTGCAGTGTTGTCGTTGACGTGCCAAATGGGTGACGAAAAATAGCTCGCGAAACATTTGTAAGTATTATTACCGCAGCCATTATGTTAAACATAATGGCTCAAGGCGCGAGCACTTGGCTGCGAGACCCGACGCTGTCTAGGGTGTTGGGGGCCCTGGGCCCTCTGTGTAGACGTCCGTAACGCCATGGAGGGATGGTTGCTCTGGGGCAGGTCAAGCGCGAACGAGACCGCGGCAGCAGAGGCAGCAGAGGCAGCCGGGGGCTGCCGATGGCAGGGTTGCTGGATGCATTGTTCAGCGACTGCGCATCGCCCGGTCCGCCCACACCGACGCCGCTCGCGAGACAACACCAACGTCGGCCATCATTGACGTTATGCGACTAACTCACTCCGTAGGCGCTCAGTACGGCTCCCGTCCCAAATGTGAGGAGATTTTCATGTCATAATCCGCAAAAGCATTCGTGGGGCTCATGGTGA